GTACCTATAAATGTAAACTTATTTGGATGGAAACAAATTTGCAGATATAAGCAAGTTAAAATGAGGTCATACTGGGTTAGAGTGAGTCATAAATCCGATGACTGATATCATTAGAAGGCCACATAAAGACACCATGACACAGAGATACACAAGAAAAACACTGAATGATGACAGAGGCAAAGAGAGGAGTAATACAGCTACAAGCCAGGAAAAGCCAAGGATGCTCCAAACCACCAGAAGCTAGGTAGAGGAAAGAAAGGATTGTCCTCTTCTAGGACCTTCGTAGAGAACAGGATCCTGGAGGCCCCTTGAGTTTGTACTTCTGGCCTTTAGAACTATGAAACAATAATTTTCTCTTGTTCTAAGCCTCCTGGTTTGTGGTAATTTGTTATGGCAGCCCTAGGAAACTAACATATCTATCAACTTGGCAAAGTTTCGGTTTGTTTTTTCAATTAAAACACCCAGCATTAGATTGAAAATGTAGAAGAACAGACACTACATAACACTTTCAATAAGAGAGTAGTTTTATTATGTAGACATTAATTTTTTTCTTTTTTGTCACGTCTCTTTTCTATATTTTCAATAGCATGTATATATTTTGCAACAAAAAAACTTAAGTTTTAAAACCACTGCTGCCAGCATTATTTAACATTTTCTGTAAGTTTTAGTCAATGTACCATAAATTATAATTGCTATATACATGTAAAGGGTTAAAATCTATAAAACTTATACATTTATTCTTGAGTCTTTTATATAGCAAAAGTATAAAACTTTCATATAACAAAAATTTGAGACTCAGGAATAAATATTACAAAAGATGTTCTAAAGACCCCAGAGTTCTTGTTTTCTTTTTTAATTTAATAAGCTAATTCTAAATGTACAGTAATCCCTTGGTATCCTTAGGAGATTTGTTCCAGGATCCCCCACGGATACCAAAAGCCATAGATGCTCAAGTCCCTTATTTAAAATGTTATAGTACTTACATATAACCTATGCACTACCTCCCATATACTTGAAATCATCTCTAGATTATATAAATGCTATGTAAACAGTTGTTGTGCTGTATTGTTTTTATTTGTATTATTTTTATTGTTATTTTTTATTATTTTCTAATTTTTTTAAATATTTTTGAGCTGAAGTTGGTTGAATACACAAATGTGAAACCCACGTTTTTAAAGGGCCAACTATATATGTAAAAGAAAAGGGCTCAGAGTAGCCAAGACCCTTCTGATGAACAAGGAAGGACTTTCCTATCAGACATCAAGAGTAATTATGAGGTTATTAATATAACAGTGATGACAGTACGATATTTGCAGAACCAGAGAAATTAGCCAACCGTCACATATATGGAAGTTTGATAGAGACATTTATATATGGAATTTTGATACAGAACAGTGGGCATGACAGATCAATGAAGAAAGGAAAAACTACTCAAAAGTAAAGCTGAAAAAAAAAAAGTCATCCTCATAGAAAATAATGAAATTAGGCCGGGCGCGGTGGCTCATGCCTGTAATCCTAGCTCTCTAGGAGGCCGGGGCGGGAGGATCAGTTGAGGCCAATTGTTTGAGCTCAGGAGTTCGAGACCAGCCTGAGCAAGAGCGAGACCCCGTCTCTACTAAAAAAAAAAATAGAAAGAAATTATCTGGACAACTAAAAATATATAGAAAAAAATTAGCCAGGCATGGTGGTGCATGTCTGTAGTCCCAGCTACTCGGGAGGCTGAGGCAGAAGGATTGCTTGAGCCCAGGAGTGTGAGGTTGCTGTGAGCTAGGCTGACGCCACGGCACTCTAGCCCGGGCAACACAGTGAGACTCCGTCTCAAAAAAAAAGAAAATAATGAAATTAGATCTTTATCTTGCACTAGTCACAAAAAGTAACTCCAGAGGGATTAAAGCCTCAATATTAAAAGCAAAATCTTAAAGCTTTTAGTAGAATATATAAGTAAACTTTCCTGTACTTACAATAAAGATTTGTTTAACAAGACATAAAAAGCACTAATTATAAAAGATTGATAAATTTGACTAAGTTAAAATAAGAAGTTCCTTCATCAAAAGATCACCTCTCCCTCCAAATCCTATCGGCTGATATATTACAAACTTGGGAGGCAGTCTTTCTCCAAAATTGTGTTTCTATCCCTTAGGAATAGCAAGGCTTTCCTATTGCGAATGGGAAGTTGCCAACGGAGTTCAACAGTGCTCCTGTGCTAAAGATTCTCAAGGACTCCTATGGGTCTGTTCCCACTCTTTTCTTTTTTTTTTTTTTTTTTCTTTTTGAGACAGAGTCTCGCTCTGTTGCCCGGGCTAGAGTGCCGTGGCGTCAACCTAGCTCACAGCTACCTCAAACTCCTGGGCTCAAGCAATCCTCCTGCCTCAGCCTTCCAAGTAGTTGGGACTACAGGCATGCACCACCATGTCCAGCTACTTTTTTCCATATATTTTTAGTTGTCCAGCAAATTTCTTTCTGTTTTTAGTAGAGACGGGGTCTCACTTTTGCTCGGGCTGGTCTCAAACTACTGGGCTCAAGTGATCCTCCCTCCTCGGCCTCCCAGAGTGCTAGGATTACAGGCCTGAGCCACCGCGCCCGGCCCCCCCACTCTTTTCAAACTGCTGTGGTAAAAATCTCAACTGTGTCTGTCTCCCAATCCACAGACTGCTTTATTCTCTCCAGAACATAGCCTAATGTCTTCTGCTGAGTTGTTGGATGAGACACAGTCCCATGCTTCATGAAATAGAGGAAAGGATATAAACATTTGGTTGCTTTTTGTTGTTTATCATTTCAAAAAAGTTGTATCACAGAATACTTTAAATACCTACAAAATTAGAAGGAATAGTATAATAAACTCCCTGCACCTATCACCCAAATTCAACATCAAGCTGCTTCTTAAATAGACATTCTGGCAATCCATGTGTTGAAGCACCACTTATACACCCCTTCCAGAGATGTTTGGAGCCTCCAGGGGTCTCATGGTGTAATTCAGCTTGCTCCTCAGATTTCTTCACTGTTGATTTAGGCTTATGCTTTCTTGAACCTGCTAGGTCAGTGTCAACTCACTCATTACCTTTTCAACCCCCAAAATTATATTGCTCTCCCATTCTCTTTGTCCATCTGGGTTTATATCTTTTTTTAAATCCCTCTCCTATCATTTTGTGGGAGGAAATGGAGTTCAAAACTGTGTTCAACTCTCCATCTTCAAACAAATGTTCATTAATTTCTTAAATTCAGTCTTCCTTTTCCCATTTGTATTTCTCTCTTGATTATTATTCTTGTCTCTCTTATTATTATATTCAAAAATGTATATTTTTGAACAAAATATTAGCAATTATCTATCGAGTACTTATTAATTTATGTGTATTAATTTATTTAATATTTCTAACAACTCATATTGTACTGCTGTGATTCTATCCCACGGAAGAGCAAAATTAACATTTGAAAAGCTTATATGATAGTCCACCTATTGAGGAGTTGGGATTTGAACCCATGTCTGTCTGACCCTAAAGTCCAGGTTCCAAACAATTGGGCATACAACTTCCCATTTCTTTTACCCTGTAAGAAAGGCCTTAGTGGTAGTCTAAGGGTCCAAAGTAACAGATTCTAAGATATGTCTACTATATGCCTGGGTAACTGCCTCTTGTTCAAATTCCACAGCTTTAAATTCAAGAAAGTACTTGGACCAGGCCAGGCTGGCCTGGTGAGGTTGTAAGTGGTAAATGAGGACTGGGTTCATGCTTGGGATATAACACTTGACCATTCTATGAGCTCACATTATATACAGATGCTTCTTGACTTATGATGAGATTATGCTCCAATAAACCCATTGTAAGTTTTAAATATCACAAGTCGAAAATGGATTTAACATGCCTAACCTACCAAACATCATACTTAGCCTAGCCTACCTTATATGTGCTCAGAACACTTAACATTTACCTAAAGTTGGGCAAAATCATCTAACACAAAGCCATTTTATAGTACAGTGTTGAGTATCTCATGTAATTTACTATACTGAAAGTGAAAAACATAAAGGTTGTACAAATGATCCCCAACTTAGGATGGTTAAACTTATAATTTTTCAGCTGTATAATGGTACGAAAGAGATACACATTCAGTAGAAAACCAGATGCTCCTCAACTTATGATGAGGTTATAACCCAGAATGGTCATATGGATACTTGAAGTGTGGTTTCTACTGAATGCTTTCACACCAACATAAAGCTAAAAAATCATAAGTCAAACCATCATAAGTCAGGGACCATCTGTATTAGTAACAAAATTGAAGAGGTACACTTGCCTTGGATGTAAGGAGCCCTGATCTACATGCAGATTAGCCTGCCAACAGAACTGCCAGGCTTATGGATCTAAGGAAAGGAGGCGAGCTTCTAAAAGGCTGAGACATTTACTCCCTCAGACTCTAGTCTGCAACGATGTGATCAATGAGGCTCTTCTAGGGGATCCTCCATCTCTCCTTGAACAATGTCACTGGCCTCTTTACTGTGTAGCCTGAATATAGTAACCTTCCTCTGTATCCTTTCAGGAAGGAGCTTTTTGGGTTTACCCATACGATGCCTGTATCTAGTTCCTCAGTCAAGATGTTCTATTAAGAAAATATGTCAGAGTGGTCATACTACTCCTATCTCCCTATTTGATTTCCTTTATAATAGCATTAAACATTTTTCAAAAAACAATCAAGTCTTCAGTTTAAAAGAATGAAACAAAAAATAAGAAAGAAATGAAATTATCTCTGAACAGAAAGTCAATGAAAAAAAAAAAAGAAGAAAGATTAAAAAAAAAAAAAGTGGCATCAAACAATCCAGAGTCAAATCCCTCAGCAAACTTCAAGGGACTGTCCACCGACATATAAATTTGTATCAAGTAGGAAGGTAAAGTTTTTTCTTTTAATTCTATAACATACTTATTTATATACTGTGCACATCAGGGAAGCATGAGGACATGGAAATTAAGAAGATAGTTTCTAAAAATGTCAAGAAAAGAAAACAAAAGACTTACTGTGGACTGTGTTTGTGCCATGTATTCACTCTCCATTTTATTCAGACGTATATTTGTATCCTCAAGCAATTCTTGAATGTTTTCAGTGTGTCGCTTTTGAAGATCAAACTTTTCCTTTTCCATTTCTGCTACGGCATTGTGGAGCTACACAACAAAAGCAAGAATTGACTCTTTCACTACTATGGAAGAGACTATTTTGCAATTCATAAAAAAAATGTTTTCCTGTATTTCTCTATTTATATATGTAGTGACCTGAACAAAAAGATACAAAACTCACAAATGAACATTCGAAGATATCATATAAGGAGCAGGATTAAGAAACACTTCATTTTTTCTTTGCTTTCCTGAATTGAAAATTTTAATGGATGAACAAATATTAAAGGGAATTAACTGCCTCAGGTAGAAATAGTAAATATATCAGACAGAAAATACAATGCCTCAGCTAAACAACACTAGTATTAGTCTGAAATCAGAAAACAGAAACATTATAATATTGTTACTGATTAGGAATATTACTGTGCTATTCATATTATTCATCTTATTTGCATGAAATTTTGGACAATAGTAATGTTAAGAAATGCTTTCTCACCTACTCAAACCCCCAACAGAAACTACTTTTAGCCATTCCCAAAAATGTGGACACATATACAAAAGCAGACACACATATCACATGTTTAAGTCAAAGAAAGTATGAGTAGGTTGACCAAGGAAGACTGTATACTATATGTATCATGTACATAGGTCTTTATTTATAAAGATTATTATGTATACACTATTTAAATGGATGAAGCTTTAAAATATTTACATAAACTAAGGTAAAGAAAACAAAGGCAAATGCAAGAGTTCCAGACAAGGTTCAATGAACAGCTTCCAAAGGGATTGAAACTCTGTGCTCACAGCCTATGGGCATTTCTTCACTTATCTTAATGGGAGTGGAATTCTGAGTCTAATTCTTATTCCTTGCATCCAACCCCAGGCCCACTCAATAGGTAGAGAGATTAGGAGCCCAAAATAGTCCAAATGATATATTTAACTCATTATCCATAAGTAGGGGAGAGAGACAAGGATACACAATACAGGCAATATGGACTCTTACTTGACTAGGAAGATGCTAGAGGAACAGAGAAGACTCAGAGATGGGAACTAGAGGACGAGCAGGCTATAATTATGGTAAAAGTACTCGTTAGGGTCTCAAGAATTTTTCTCCTAGTTTCTAGCTGAACAGGAAGAGTGAGGATGGCTCAGTAATAGCCACACAGAAGACCCCTGGGTTTCTCAAATTTAATATATGCAGTTTTAATTATTTTTAAGTGGTCCTCCAGATCCCTGATATGTTTAATTCGTATTTTTGCTGCAATAAGCATTTTAAACCAGTATTAGGTCTGTTATTTAAAAGTGAGTCACTTAGCTAGAACAATATTGTAGCCAAGCCCATTGCACCTAAAACCCAGTGCTCCTTCATAGCTGTCAACTGACACGCATAGTAACTCAGATAAAGGGATCTAAAGGAGTAACTCAATTTTGTGGTTATACTTATGGGAACAATTATATGTTATAGTGGTTTCCTCATGTTTATGGTTTCCTAAAGGCCCCAGAACACATGCCTGCTGAACGTCAAAATATCTACTATATTTAGCAGTCCATCAACACATGGTGGTTTCTCAGATGTATCCCACAGTTGTTTTATAAAGGGACTGTGGGCTGGGTGCGGTGGCTCACACCTGTAATCTTAGCACTCTGGGAGGCCAAGGTGGGAGGATTGCTTGACTTCAGGAGTTTGAGACCAGCCTGAGCAAGAGTGAGACTCCGTCTCTACTATAAAGAGAAAAAATTGGCATGGGTCCCATGGTTCCAGCTACTTGGGAGGCTAAGGCAGGAGGATCCCTTGAGCCCAGGAGTCTGAGGTTGCTGTGAGCTAGGCTGATGCCATGGCACTCTAGCCTGGGCAACAGAGCAAGACTCTATCTCAAAAAAAAAAATAATAATAATTATATATATATATAAAGGGACAGTGGCTGTTGGCAGGGTGTCTATAAGTCAGTCTGAGCCATTTAAAACTCATCCAATGAATACATAGTTGAAACTACAACGGTAAAGATGGCACTGGCAAAAACATGTATGCTATACCTTGGCTGATGTGTGTGAGGATCACACAGCTGTATCTGGTCTAATAATCTAACTAGAGATGATTAATACGTATTCATCCAACAAATTTTATTAATGCCTACTATGTACCAGGCATAACACATCAAAGAGAGCTTTCCCAAACCTAGCAATGAATTGGAGACCAGCTCACTCAGTCTGGGAGGCTTTAAAAGGGCAAATATTCCCCTGAGGGATAAACTATTTTAGCAGTAAATATTATTTGGCATGCTATAAAGTCTTGATAGTGAGTTCATTCATATAAATTCCCAAGGAGATTTTTCCCAGAGTTTGGCAATGGATATAGGAGGTGCAAAAGCCCTTCCCAGCATCCTACATATTGGTCTTTGACCAGGAGGTTGGCTCAAGCAAGAGGAGACTCAGAGGCATTAGGAATCTGTTCCAAACAAAGGCAGAAGTATTATAAAAGCCCACAGTTTAATGGTGCAGCCATTTTGGAGAACAGCCTGGTAGTGCCTCAAAAACTCAAACAGAGTTACCATATAACCCAGCAATTGCACTCCTAGGTAAATACCTGAGAGAATTTAAAACATATGTCCACACAAAAACATGCACGCAAATGTTCACAGCAACATTATTCATGATCTCCATATAGTAGAATCAGCTCAAAGGTCCATCAACTGACAAATGAATAAACAAAATGTATATCTGTAAATTGGAATATTATTTAGCCATAATACTGATTGAACTATTGATCCATGCTATACTGTGGGTGAAACTTTAAAACATTACGGTAAGTGAAAGAAGCCAGTCACAAAATACCACATATTGTATGATCCCATTCACATGAAATGTCCAGAATAGGCAAATCTATAAAGACAAAGTAGATTCGTGGTCGCAAGAGGCTGGGTAGGAGGAAATGGGAATTGACTGCTAATGGGTACAGGGTTTCTTCCTGGGTTGATGGAAATGTTCTGGAAATTATATAGTGATGATAGCATATAACTTTGTGAATATACTAAAAGTCACTGAATTGTACATTGTAAAAGGGTGAATTTTATGGCATGTGAATCATAACTTGATTTTTTAAAAGGCTCACTGATTAGAAACAGCATGGTACAGTCAGATAAATGGGAAAAGTTCTGTATATCTTGTGCAAAAGTATAAAATGGGGAGTAAGATTGCGACAAAGCATGAGGATTCAAAGATGACCAGAGTTTTAGTAATAGAAAGTCTAGCAAATTCTCAGGGCAACAGGACCCAATAGAGTGATGTAAACATGGTCATGAGGCCAATGATTTTTGAAACACCAATTTGGCCATATTATGGGATGTGTACTACAGAGGTGTAGACAGGATGTAGAGTCCAGTTCTGTGTTATCTAGACATGACAGTGATTTCCTGAACTAGGGAATGGACCATGTACACATATACATTCTTCTCAAGCACATGTAAAATATTCTGTAGCGTAGATCATACGTTAGTCCACAAAACAAGTCTTCACAAATAGAAGACTGAAATTATATCAAGTATCTTTTCAGACTACATGCTTGGAAACCAGAAATCAATAAAAGGAAGAATCTCAGAAAATTCAAAAATATGTGGAAATTAAACAACATGATCCTGACCAACCAATAGGTCCAAGGAAAAATTTAAAACTATCTTGACACAAACAAAAATAAAAACACAACATACCAAAACTTATGGGATACAACAAAAGTGGTTCTAAGAGGGAAGATGGTAGCAATAAATGTCTACATCAAAAAAGAGTATTAAGGCCAGGCGCAGTGGCTCACACCTGTAATCCTAGCACTCTGGGAGGCCGACGCGGGCGGATTGTTTGAGCTCAGGAGTTCGAAACCAGCCTGAGCAAGAGCGAGACCCCATCTCTACTAAAAATAGAAAGAAATTAATCGGATAACTAAAAATATATAGAAAAAATTAGCCAGGCATGGTGGCGCATGCCTGTAGTTCCAGCTACTCGGGAGGCTGAGGCAGAAGGATTGCTTGAGCCCGGGAGTTTGAGGTTGCTGTGAGCTAGGCTGATGCCATGGCACTCTAGCCTGGGCAACACAGTGAGACTCTGTCTCAAAAAAAAAAAAAAAAAAAAAAAAGAGTATTGAGTAGCTGGGTAGATGCCTACACCATAGAGAACAGGAGAAAATGGAATACCCTTAGGAAGAGATTGTTTTAGCCAAAATTGATAAGGATGAAGTTTAGGGAAAATGAGAGATTTTAAATAAGTAGTTGAATAACTGGAACTTAAGATGAGAGATGTAGGATGGATATTTCTATTAGGGAGTATAAAAATACACACACACATCATATCACATCACCTTGTCCATATAAAATATGTAATAATGTTTTAATGAACGACTGCATAAATCATATGTGAATCTATCAAGTGCTTATTAATTTTGGTACTTACCCCGCTTTTCACCACTGCCCAGATTTACATGAAATTGTACTTCACAAAAAAACCCTTTCAATAAAGTTTTCAGTGTTTACATATCCACTATTTATTGTGTAATTGTAAGAAAGATTAATCCAGCAGAAAGAAAAAGATATACCCTTGTAAGTGGTAGAAGGCAGAAGCCTTTTCTTTTCAAATATCTGACAGTTTAAACTAGAAAATAAGAGATCAGGGAATTCAGACAAATGGAGAAAGGGGCCTACTAGGTATACAATGTACTTGTAACAAGCACAAAAATGTCACATTTGTAGAAAAGATAAAAACAAAATGTGATAAAGAAAAAAACCACATAAATTAACAAAACAAAACAAAAGAGCTAACTCTTCCCATCTTAATATATTAATATTTTCACGGCACTTCCCAGACTAGGCCTAAAGCTGCCATCACTAGGAAAAATTTCAGAGCAATGGTCTCTGCTTGGATATAACTTTTAGTAAAATATTTTGAGCCCAGATTAATGGAGAGAATATCAGTATGAGTTAACTGAAGATCCTTATGATAGAATACTTCAAAAGAAGTAACACATTTAATTTCTTTTAAATGTATACTGTAACTATAGTTAAGGGTTC